CCATGTATTTCTTGGTTTAAAATTTTGCCTGCAGCTTCTGCTATCCTGAAATGTAACCCCATCTTTAAAAACTCTTGCTTCTAAGCCACTAGGGAGTTCGGGTCTTTTTTTTTTCTCTTTTTCTTTCTTTTTTTTTTTTTTTGAGATAGAGTCTTGCTCTGTTGCCCAGGCTGGAGTGCAGTGGTATAATCTTGGCTCACTGCAACCTCCACCTCTCAGGTTCAGGCAGTTCTCCGGCCTCAGCCTCCCAAGTAGCTGGGATTACAGGCACGTGCCACCACGCCCGGCTGATTTTTGTATTTTTAGTACAGACAGGGTTTCACCATGTTGGCCAGGATGGTCTTGAACTCCTGACCTCAGGTGATCCACCTGCCTCAGCCTCCCAAAGTGCTAGGATTCCAGGCATGACCCACCATGCCCGGGCTTAGGGAGTTCGGGTCTTAAGCACTAGCTGTCTGTCCTCCTTGCTAAGCACCAAACAATAAATATGCTTTTTCCCGCTACAAATCTCAGCATCAGTGCCTGACTCTCCTGCAATGAGCAAAAGCAGACCCCAGTTGAAGTCGGTGACGGTGTCACCCTGACTACTCTACAAGGGCCTCCCTGCCCTGAAACCGCAATGTCTCTGGGCCTGTCCCTGCACTGAGGACGAGGACGAGGCCGAGCCTGGAGTCCAGGCCTCCTCAGAGCCACAGCTGTGGTTGGGCTGGCAACTCTGCATCTTCACGATGTAGAAGCTCCCTGACCTTTCCCTCTGTCTCCCCAACTCAGGAAGGACAGGCAGGGTGAGGTGTCCTCTAGTCTCAGTATTTGAGCCTTCTAAGCAAGGCCCAGTCCCTGCCAACAGCCTTCTGGGGCTCTCACTGATCCTGGCCCAGAGGAAGGCCAGGCTTTGCAGATGCAGAGCCTCCCCTGATCCATCCCTTCCAGCCTAGGCCTCTAGCAGAATAGAGCCTGGACCAGAACAGGAGCCAGGAGGCTTCATCCAGCTGGCCCACCACCTCCACCCTGTCCCAGGAGGCTGGCCCCACCTCCCACAACCCTCAGTGGAGCAGCAAGTAGGAAACAGGGGCACCTGGGAGGCACTGCAGTGTTTCCCAGCTGTTTAGTGGGTGGTGATCAGCATTTTCAAAGTGCAGTAAAACACTTAAATGTCACAGTGCATTGCACATGAGTTAAGCCCTATGCTGGGGGATATGTTCCGGGTTGAGATGTTATCAAACAAATTTGAAAAACACTGCTGCTGAGGGCCTGGCCTGAGCCCCCTAAGCTCCCCAGGTATCCCGGCCCAGCTCTGGTCTGCTCACCTGACAGGAACTGCACCTGACACACTGCCCGGAGCTCCTCTTGGGTCTCACACCTAAGCTCCCTCACTCCACCTGTCTGGCTCTACGTCCCCTGCAGAGACATGGGCTGAACTACTTGGCCCTGGACTTCCCGAGGGGCAGCTCATGCTGCAACAACACGATATGGCATTTGGAGCAAGGGAGAGATGCACAAGGCGCTGTGAGAGCCCAGAGGAAGGCCGGACGTGATGCCTAAACTGAGTTCTCCAAGATGCTCAGGCGGCCAAAGCAATGGAACGGCACTGGCAGAGGCCCGGATGTGTGAGATCATAGGGGCCCTGCAATGACACACATGGTTTGTGAAGCTTCTAAGGACCCTTTGCTGCTATGTTCCCCTCCTCATCCTAGTGAACTCTGCTTCTCTCTCAAGGCCCAGCTCAGTGCCCTCTCTCCATCCCCAGGGTCTCATCTCGCTCTTACGCAACTCCCCACCTCCCAGCTCCCACTCAGCTTCTCAGCTGTAAGCTTCCTTAAGGCAGGAGCCAAGCTGAGGGGCCTTTTTATTGCCCACAAATCCTGGCCCAGTGCATTAAGAGAAGGGCCCAACAGGTATGTCCGAGTGGATGCATGAAGTTCATAGATGTGGCAGTTGTAGCTCAGAGTGGGAGTGCCTGGCTCAAGGTCACACAGCAGGTTGTGGAGTTGTGGTGTAAGGCACAGTCCTCACTCAGGGCTGTACTGTGATCTTGTTCTACGATGCCAAACCTGGGCACTTTTGTCCAGCTGACGTGGCAGAGAATGCTGGAAGAGGAGTATTGGTGTGAAGGTTGTAGGGAGGGTTGAGAGGGTCACAGATGCAAAGGAGCAAGGCCTTCCTGGATGTGCTGCCCAGAGTCAAGCCCTACTCTTAGGGCATGTGAGCCAGGCTGAAGGGCTCAGGTCTGACACTATGACAAGCCAAGGCCCTCGCGAGGGGGACAGCTATGTCCTCTGGACATCTCTCCTGGGGCCACTGTGACATGGAAGTGGCCACCAGCCTCACCCTCTGTTTTATCCCACAACCCCTTTACGCCTTACAGCAACCTTAAGGAAGCCCAGGAAGAGGGTCCCATTCTCACTCACCCAATTAGGACACTCAGGAGCAGGAAGATGCAGTTTCTAGGGACAGGACAGGCTTATGGCTTCCTAATCTATGAGCGTGACAGGAGCATAGAGGGCTTACGAAATCAGCAGCACTGACACTCTGCAAAGCCACGCCTCCATTTCCCCATCTAAGTTCGCTTCCAGCCCAGGACTGCAGAGCCAGGACTGCTGCCCATGCTGGCTGGGTCTCCAAGTAGATTTCTTCTGAGGGCCATAAGCCATGAGGCAAGGGAGGGACAAAGTAAAGGGAGTCTAGGGGAGGGGAGCTGAAGCGCAGCTCTTACCCACAGCAGCCTCTGCCCAAAAGATGGCACGCATAGAATCCACCTCACCCAATGTTCAAGCCTGTAGGCCCTTCCTCCCCAGTCACTCCTGCTCCACCACTGCTTGTACCAAACCTCTCTAGGCCTAAGTTTCCACATGTAAAAGCAGAGAGTGGCTGGGCGTAGTGCCACAATGCCTGTAATCCCAGCAATTCAGAAGGCTGAGGCAGAAGAATCACTTGAGTCCAGGAGTTCAACACCAGCTTGGGTAACATAACAAGAGCCTGCCTCCAAAAAAAAAGAAGAAGAAAAAACGCATCAACACAGGGTGGGGGGGTAACTTCTTTGCAAATCACAAGTGCTAGAGCCCCTTCTCTCTGCTACTGACCTCTGCTCCCTCCCCAAGCAGCCTTCAGGGTGAAAAGGCTTGGACGGCACATGGGGAGGCCACCACAGCTGCAGACTGCTTGCAAGGCTGAGGATACCACGGCTCTCTAGCTGGGCACTTCCCTCCACACCCAGGAGTCAGTCAACCAGCTGCTCTCTGACCCCCTCACCACCGGGTCTCCTGCCCAGCGCCTCACACATGTACACACACACCCCTTCATTGACTCCAGCCTGTCTCGCACCCCTGCTGGGCTCCCCCAGCACAACAGTCCTCTTGTATTCCCTGCCCCCACCAGGTCCCAGACCTGCTCTCAGGCCTGCCTGTTTTCCCAGCCTCTGGCAGGTTCCCCCCACCCAACCACAGAACTCAACAGCAACGTTGAGTCCCTAGCCACTCCCCGCCCTTTTAACCCTCCTCATCTTCTGTCCCAGCTTTCCAAAGAGTTGCAGTCCAGCCCTGGCCCTCCTCACCCCTCCTTCATCCATTGGGCCAGGGTGGAATCATAAGCAGACCCAGGTCTTGGCCAGCTCCTCCTGCAGCCCTGGACCCCTCAGGTGAAAGGAAAATGTTAGAGTTGTTTTATGTTTTAAGAGAAGCCAAAGGGTGAGAAGCTTTGCCTGAAGGAGTGAATGTTTCTTGAGTGTACTGTTAGGTACTTGTGCAAGGGATATGTTGTAGGGGCCCTCCAGGTGCTCCCCATAAAGGCAGCATACGTATGACATCATATGCTGTCATCATATGCTGTCGGAGAGCCGACAGCCTTGTAGTTTTTTCCCAGTGTAGAAAATAATAGTCCTGTCTTCCAAGTAGGTGAGTTCAGAAGAGGCCTGATAGCCACCCTCTCCAATGACCCCACCCTTATTGCGGTAGCTGGCTGGCAGGAAGGTTGGCAAGACTGTGTTCATCCTTCAGTGTTCATCCCGCCTGGGAGTCAGGTAGCCTACAGCGGTGTTCTCAAACTGGAGCCTGCATCAGCAACACCTGGAGGATGAAACAGCCTGTTAGGCCCCTCCCCTTCTGTTTCGGACGCAGTGGGAATGGGTGGGACCTGAGAATGTGCACTTCTATAAGCTCCCGGGTGATGCTGACGCTGCTGAACACTTTCATCCATAGAGATGCTTCTCCCCGGCTCAGCCAGAAGCAGTTTTGGAGCCAGGGGAAGAGGAGACTGCTGACCTTGTAAGATAGGGGTTGATACTGAACCTCAAGCCAAAGGGGCAGTCTCTTCAAAGGTCTGCATGTGGTGAGTAGAAGGCTCTGAACTTCACATTAGTGAACTTGGGGTTCCACTACTGGATCTTGTGATCTTTTTTTAAACCACATTTTCTGATTCCCTTCTTATGAGCAAGCCAGGCACTTTACATATCTTATCTCTACTCCTTACTCCCACTATGCAAGGAGATATCCCTGAAGCTTGCAGAGGTGGGATCTGAACCCAGACCTGATTTTAAAGTCTAGGCTCTTAACCTTTTGGTGATTCTGCCTTAAGAAATGAGGCAAATAGCTTGGGCAATGAGAATGATGAAGGCAGGGAAGGAAATAGAACCCTTTTTTAGATAGCTGACATGTCCAGGTCTGCCACAGAAGTGGGGACATACAGGTTTTCCTGCTCTCCATCTAAAGCTACCCATCTCATACTGCAAGAGCCCAGTTCCTTCCCTCCTGGGCCCTTACTCCTGGATTGCTGGCTCCTGGATTGCCAGGCCTTCCCTGTCCTGTTCACTGCTATATTCCCACCAACAAGCATCATTCCTGGCACACTTCAAGGTACCAAAGGTGTTGCATGAATCAACACATTCCCATGCCTGCAATGCCCCAAGACTCAGCCAGTTGCCAGGATTCTCCCATCTACACCTTAGGTGGTCAGGTCCCTGTGTGAAGTTGGAGAACTACAGTCAAATCAAGAGGCTGGGAAATATACTTCTTAAAACTGATTTTAATATCCTTCTTCCCTCCTCCACCCCACTGGGAAAAGGCTAAAACAATCTGGATGGGTTTAATTACAAATTAATACATACTGTCATTGTGTAAAGTAAATCAACATTGGGGCAACAAGGGACTATTGGAAAAAGTGAAACCCATATTAACAAAATATGTCATGGAAGAACCCCACTTAGTGATTTCACTGGCTGCTTGAAAGACAGTCAACGGAAAGGTCAATGTTCTGCATGTTCTCTGGGGCCTGCCTGTCCATGCAACGAAAGGAGGTCTTGCCCAGACTCAGCCAAGCCTAGTTAGCTCCAACCAGGCCCTAGACCAAAAGCAAGGGAAGAGGGCATCCTTTCAATAGGATAAGGGTAGAAAGGGCAGATTGACAGATAAAATCCTGCAGCTTCACTTAAAAGCCCACGGGGAAAAAGAAAGCAGGAAGTTACTGGGAAGCCTTAAAGAAAGATGCAGCATTTTCTCAACATTAAAAAAAAAAGTTAAAAAATTAAAAAACAAACAGAAATCAACTACAAGGTCACTGGAGAGGGAGAAAAAAAGGAATAGAACTTCATTGTTTTCAGTAAGTTTGAACATGGTCTTGGCTTCATCCATGTCTTCATTATGCAGACACCATCCTCTCGGCACTGTGCTCAACCTGTGAGACCCTTTGCTTAGCAGCTTGAAGGAAATGTTTTTTTAAAAAGGTACTATACACTCATATATAAATGCACACGTTTATATGTGCATGTGTATATACATATAAATTGTAATAAAGTAGTTTTAGAAAGCTGGGGGCACCAAGGCCTCTGGGGCTGACTTCCTTGCATTCAGAATTCCACAGGACGATACCTACCCAAGAACTTCTCTCCAATTTGAAACACTCCATCTTCCCTTAAGATCGCCTGATACGAGGAGACTGAGGCAGGTCCACAAAACAAACGAAGGTCCTAGAAAATGTGTCACCAGTGACACTGTTCACATGTGAAAGGAACACTAGAGTCATGAGTTATTTGAGAGCTCTCTACCCTTTCTGACTCCCCCTCCCTGCCCAGAGAACTTGCAGGCCGGAATACTACATCTTTAAATATTTCTGGCTGAGCCCTCTCGCCACATATGTCAGTAACATTCCAAGCTGGCGACCACATGTTCAGGCTCTGGCTCCCTTCCTCTCTACTGAAGAGTGCTCTGCTGTTTCAAGGGCACGGTGGGGCCACCCGGCTCCCATTTCAGCTCGATCTTCAGTTGATCATACATCTCAGAAACAACCAAATTAAAAAAGAAAATTGGTGCCAAAAGAATCTTCATATTTGAAACGCCTATTTCTCCCTTTTTTTTTTTTTTTTCCTGAGACAGAGTCTCACTCTGTTGCCCAGGCTGGAGTGCAGTGGTACCATCTCGGCTCACTGCAACCTCTGCCTCCTGTGTTCCAGAAATTCTCCTGCCTCAGCCTCCCGGATAGCTGGGACAAGGTGCATGCCACCACGCCAGGCTAATTTTTGTATTTTTAGTAGGGATGGGGTGGGTTTCACCATGTTGACATGGTGAAGAACTCCTGGTCTCGAACTCCTGACCTCGTGATCCACCCACTTTGGCCTCCCAAAGTGCTGGGATTACAAGCGTGAGCCACCACGCCCGGCCTGAAATGCCTATTTCTTTTGAGATTGTTTTTCAAATTCCATTTGATGAATTTTTTAAAGTGAGTTAGACAATGTGTGTACATACACACAGAGACACACACCACCACACACCCACAAAATTCAGAGGCTTGGGGGGAAGGTTGTTTGCTGCCAAAAGATCTAACAGAAGAAAGCTTATATGCTGATCAAGTTTTAATAACATGGTTAACAAGAAATGTACACCATTTAGCAAGCACACAAAGACTGTGGGTAGGAACTACTGATCCCTGGAGTGTCTGGCTCCCAAGCCCATCTTCTGCCTACCTTTGGCATAGCTTCATAGTTACTACATTCAGAGAATCCAAGAGGACTGCATGGACAGATGAACCTTTATTTAAAAAAATAGCACTTCAAATAAATTAAAAGGGACAACCGTCAAGTGTTCAAATTGTGAAGAAATAGTTGAAAACCTAGAGAGACTCCAAGCTGCAGTCTTCTAACCTCATTCTTTGTCCAATGGCAAACCCCCACACATCTCAGTACTCCCACTCAATTTTTTCCCTACTGAGATGAGGGAAGCAATTGCAGACAGGAGACCAGACGGAGGAGAAAGCTGCATCTGATTGGAATGAACATTGCCACGTACTTGCTAATACGGGTTTCACTTTATGACCAAATGTATTCTTTCAAAAATAAAAAAGGGGAGAGGGAAGCTGCATGTTTTTAAAAATTGAAATTATTTAGGGATAAAACACTAACTCTAGTGCCTTTAACGGGCAATAGCAACTTTTTTCCTCCGAAGTCAAACACCATCCCCAGCTGAGCCTTTGTGCTACAAGCTTTTCAGGAGATGTTACCTAAACTTTATTAAAAGAAAAGAACAAGTTTAAATATAGACACTGGACTAGCCCAGTCTGTATTTTCAAGTCCACATTCTTCATCTGAAGCACTGCATCAGGGACCCCCCTGAGTCTGCATGTTTTCAAGTTCACAGTACATGGAACCAGTTTTTCTTTTTAATTTTTTCCTCACTCAGAGCAGCCACACACAGTGGCCGTTGACGCCGGAACCTCGGGCGGGGCCTTTTCCTATGAGGCCTGGCCGGAGCTGCCCAAGGTTTCTCCTCAATGAGAATCGATGCTGTCATGCTCTATGGATGGGAAAAAAGCAAGAAAATAAAAGCACCTGGTACAGGTTTCATCAGATCCATTCGGATTCGCTATGTTCCAAACCCGCTGCTGAATGCCATTTGTCCACTTTGTGTGTGTTGAACAGTTTGTGGCCTTGGAGTCTGTCTCAATTAGAAGAACTGTTATTGGACGCCCCAGAGGTTGATGCAATAGCAGCTCCAGCAGGGCTACTCGTAGAGACTGACTTTCGGATGTGAGGCAACAAGTAGGGATCACAGGCCAGCTGCTGGACATCAATGCGGTCCTCCTTTCGGTAGGCCAAGCATCGTCGAATAAACGCCTGCAAAGGAGAGTTTCTTGAAGATGGAGGCAGATAGTCTTGGCACCCCTGGAGGGACCCTAAGGCTATTGGCTGCCAGGGCCCATAGCAAATATCTCCTAAAGAGAAGGAATTTAAGGCCTTCCCCCAGAAACCACCAGGCAGACCCAAAGAAAACAAGGTAAGGAGAAGCACCAACAACAGTACCTCTCTGCTGCCACTGATTCCTTCCCAGACAGAAAGGGCTGAGCCATTACTGAAGGGAGGAAAAAGGAAGCATGACCTCTAAATACTCCTGCCCCCAAAGCACTAAGACCAACAGAAAAAAAAAAATCTCTCTTTGTCTTCGCTGGTTTGGATGGGAACAGTCTAACTTCATGGTCCTCCATCTACAAACCATGACCTCAAGTGAACTTCCTGCGGAAGTGAAAATTCTATCACCATATGAAGTGTCAGGAGACACACAACGGCTAACACTATGATGTGTCACAGGTGATAAAATCATTTCCCTATGTCATAAAGGGAAACCTGAAAGGACTTGCATCCACGATAACACTGTAGACCCAAAAATGCAGTGAGTGGGGTTACACACGGAATTCCAGTTGACTACAAATATGGAGGCTATGCAGTTTTAGTTTCTGTAAGTCTTAGCATAAAGACCCTTATATAGATTATCTGTCTTGTCCTGCTTGTTTTCTTCCTATTTTTTAGCTAGTTCTATTTAATAAGTTTCAATATAACTATTTTAAATAAATTAATTTTTAAAAATCTAAAACATCATTATTACAGAAAGTCCGTATTTTACACAAGGGTGACAAGGATGTGATGTGTCGGTACACACAGGTTCACTGGCTCTCTCAAATGGACTGCTCTGGCGGGGGATGTCCATGCAGAGGCTGCATGGGTGCAGCAGGCAGTATAAGGGAACTCTATACTTTCAGTTTTGCTGTGAGCCTAAAATTGCCTAAAAAGCAGAGTTGATTTGAAACAAAATCTACAACATGAATCAAGCTATTGATTTTCTGGTTTTCCCCCATGTTTGGTAAACAAATTAATAATAAAATGCCAATCCTGGCTTTTCAAAATCAAAGACAGGTACTGGCTTGGTTAAAGCATTTGGAAGATAAAAACAATTCATAGAAATGAACATAATGATCCTTGGCCTTTAAAAATGAACTTTTCTAGGTGAAAGGTATAGAATTGGAGTTAAACAGGTTACCTTGGGTTAAATATTTGTCAAACTTTTTTTTTTTTTAACTTTTTTTAGAGACAAGATCTTGTTCTGTCACCCAGGCTGGAGTACACTGGCATGATCACAGCTCATTGTAGTCTCAAACTCCTGGGCTCAAGTGATCTTCTTTTTTTTGAGACGGAGTCTCGCTGTGTCGCCCAGGCTACAGTGCAGTGGCCGGATCTCAGCTCATTGCAAGCTCCACCTCCCGGGTTTTTACGCCATTCTCCTGCCTCAGCCTCCCGAGTAGCTGGGACTACAGGCACCCACCACCTCGCCCGGCTAGTTTTTTTGTATTTTTTAGTAGAGACGGGGTTTCACCTTGTTAGCCAGGATGGTCTCGAACTCCTGACCTCGTGATCCGCCCGTCTCGGCCTCCCAAAGTGCTGGGATTACAGGCTTGAGCCACCGCGCCCGGCCTCAAGTGATCTTCTACCTCAGCCTCCCAAGTAGCTAGGACCAAAGGCGTGCCCCACCACATCCAGCTAGTTTTAAAATATTTTGTAGAAATGGGTCTCGCTATGCTTCCCAAGCTGGTCTCAAACTTGTGGCCACAAGTAATCTTGCCACCTCATCTTCCCATAGTGCTAGGATTACAGGTGTGAGCCACGGCACTCAGCCAAGTAAACTTCATTTACCTTGAATTTTCTCTGTAGCTGCCAGTGTCAGCTCTTAAAACAGCAATCAGCTCACAGAGTTGCCCTGATTAAAACCTGCAACTGCCTTCCCTCACACTTACCCCCACCCTCCTGCCTCTCTTACCACCTTTCCCTTTGCTCTGTGGACCTGCAAAAAGCTCATTCTCACATCTGAGCTTCTCTCTGCTAAAATGCTTTCCCCTGCAGATCTATGGCTCCTGCAAATCATGGCTCCCACCTTCAAACCATTCAAGATACTGCTCAAAATGTCACTTCATCTTTGAGGCCTTCCCTAACCATGCCATCAAAAAAGAAGTTTCTACCTTCTCATCCCCCTACTCTGACTTATTTCTTCATAACATGTGTCACCATCTGAAATGTATCCACTTTTTGTTTTATTGTTTTTCTCATAAGTGGAATATAAACTCCTTAAGGGTAGGGAACTGGTCTGCAGAGTTCACTGCTACATATTTGGTTTCACCCCCACTACCCAGAATAGTGTCTTAGTGTTTCATAGGCATTCAATAAATATTTGTTGTGGGAGGACAGGAAGAGAAGAGGGTAGGATTTGGAGAAACAGGGACACAGGAGACAATTCATGGAAACATTTGGAGATACTTCTGTATTCTTCATAGCAAGTTCATCTAACAGTCTCTAAAGTTTTGGAGACATTTGTTCACTATTTATTGAATAAACACAAAAATTTGACAAAAGTTATATAAAGAAATAGTCTTGAAAAACCTGACAGATTAGGAGAATTAAACATCTACCAGATAACGTATTCAAGTCCCTCAGTGTCAACTCTGGTTGGCAGCTGCGGCACGGGTAGTAGAGCAGCTAGCTAGAGAATCTGTCAAGGGTTAGGTGCTACCAGTCCTCTTAAATCTCACAACCACCCTTTTTTTTTTTTTTTTCTTTTTTTTTGAGACAGGGTCTTACTGTGTTGCAGAGGCTGGAGTGCAGTGGCTATTCACAGGTGTGATCATAGCACATTACAGGTGTGCAGCGCCGCACCTAGCTACAAACACCTTTTAAGGAAGATGTTTTTGTTTCTGTTTTTATGGATAAGGAAAAGCAGCTTAAAAGGTTTAACTTGCCTAAAGTTACACAGCTACTACTGAGTGCAGAGCTGATACCAAAATTAGATTAACCAGGCTTCAAAGCTGAGCCTCTCTCCAGCTCTCCCAGGACAGTCAGGAAATCAGCATTTGCCTTAGGGATGTGTTATGGGACTTCTCCCTTGCAGATTTGATTTCTTGGTTATGCTGAACCATAGATGGGGACAGGGAGTAATCAGTCAGGAATTACAAACAACTGCTAAAGATGTTAATTCTTACCCTGTGACATGGCAGCTATACCACTTGGAAAAAGAGGCTCTTTCCCAACCTATATCACATAGGTACGCTGTGAAGGAACAGCAGAGATCAAACACCAAAAAAAGAGATTAGACTTGTAACTGGCTGGGCACAGTGGCTCACACCTGTAATCCTAGCACTTTGGAGGCTGAGGCAGGTGGATGACTTGAGCCTAGGAGTTCGAGATCAGCCTGGGCAACATGGCGAAACCCCTTGTCTACAAAAAATACAAAAAAATAGCCAGGTGTAGTGGTACACGCCTGTAGTCCCAGCTTCTCGGGAGGCTGAGGTGGGAGGATCACCTGAGCCTGGGGAGGTCAAGGCTGCGGTGAGCCGTGATAGTGCCACTGCACTCCGGACAGGGTGACAGAGTGAGACTCTGTCTCAAACTGACAACAACAAGACTTACAACTGCTCACTTAGAGTTTAAAAATGCTGAATGACCATAGCATCAAATGGGGCTGGCTACTACTCATCTCAGAAGAACTGGTTAATAGAGATAAATAAAATAGCACGGAAAAAGTAGGCTGGCTATTAGAATTTGGTTTACAGATGTGGCAAGGATGAATGATTATTTATAGCTTCCTTTTCACCACTTCCCATTCTATACTTCCTTTGCCCCACTGACTTTGTTATGCCCTCACCAACTGCAACAGAATTTACTGCTTACCATTCGCTTGACATTTAACCCTATAATGTTGATATGGTTTGGCTGTGTCCCCACTCAAATCTCATCTTGAATTGTAGTTCCCACAATCCCGTGTCGTGGAGGGACCTGGTGGGAGGTAACTGAATCATGGGGGTGGTTACCCCCAGGCTGTTCTCATGATAGTTCTTACGAGTTCTGCTGGTTTTATAAGGGGCTTTTCCCTCTTTGCTTGGCACTTCTCCTTTCTGCTGCCATGTAAAGAAGGATGTGTTTGCTTCCCCTTCCACCATGATTGTAAGTTTCCTAAGGTCTCCCCAGCCATGCTGAACTGAGTCAATTAAACCTCTTTCCTTCATAAATTACCCAGTCTTGGGTATATCTTTATTAGCAGCATGAGAACAGACTAATACAAATGCCTTAGTACTCTTATATAATTTCTCCTACATGGGCATCAGCTTCCCAAATTAATCATAATCCCCGAATACGGATGAAGCTGAGTATCTTTCATGACATCCACATACCTACCTGTTCTCTCTCAACTGGAGTCTGCTCTCCCTCCCTTTCTAACTCTAGGGAGCCTTTCTGAATTAAAACACACACCTATCAACATTCCTTCTACTGGAACTGGGGATGGGGTGGTCAGGGTGTAAGCAATGTTCTTCTGTCAAGTGTTCTTAGGAATATTAATTCATGCCTATCCTAATGTTTTCAATAACTCCTGAATTTCACACTGA